CAATAGGTTTATTCTATAGTGCGTTGTATTTTTTTTTCTGTTTTTGATAGATTACTTGAGTTCTTACTGTTGTCTGTATGATATTTGGTGCTTCTGTATTTTTATCATTGACGTTGGCACGTACCTGGCATAATCTTCCCACAGTTCTTCGTTCTGCACCCGCTGTATCTTTATGATTTTGTTTGGACAACTAGCATTGAATAGACGCTCTATGTCATTGTATTCCGTACTACCACTCTTAACATCAAATAGTTGAAACGTAGCATCCGGGTCAAACTTATGAAGTACTTTCTCCCATGTAGTGGGATAGCTTATGGATGATTCAACTTTACCACTGACTGCCTTAGTGATACCCTTTGCTCTAAAGAAAGAAATACTCGAAATCTAAATATAAAATTGGGTCGTACAAAATATTTACAAATAATTTTTAATTTATTTTATGTTTACACTACATTTTCAGAATATCTCGCAGATAAATTACAAATATTAATTGTTTTTATTATAATTTTTTTTTTTATTGAGGACATGCATGACATCTTGAAAAATTTGTTAAAAATGGTAAAATCTGATACGAAAATACACTAAAACCTTTCCCATGAATATCACAAGGCCTCATTTATGTTTTTTTACTAACAGAATACTGAATGTTTAAAGCTTACCGCTTTAATTGGATATCTTTTTTGTAGTTTGAAATATCAATCATCGTGACAAGATTCTTGGGACGACGACGGACCCTTCTGATGGTCTTGTAAGTAAGGCTTTCTTGTTGCATCGTTTCAAAGTTCAGCCTATAGCTGTTCTTCCCAATTTTAAACATAACAGTTGAAAGTTTGGGATCATCTATAAACTCTTGATAGCTTTCTTCTAATTCGTGACTACTTTTTTCAGACACAGCATTACCTTCAGTTATCTGTACAATAAAATAATTGTTTTCGTAATTGTTCAATTGTGCTTGCCAGGAACCTTATAATGGAATGCGATCTCTTGAATAACAACCCAAAATTGATTTCATGAAAAAGTTACAATATAACAAAATAAAATCAAAGTTCAAAACAGGAACAAAAAAAAATAAATGAAATAAATTAAAAAAAAAAAAAAAAAAAAAAAAAAACCCTTGGCAAAGATTATATTTGTTTTAGAAACTTTTTTAGATACTGTACCTTCTGTGG